TCTGGTTTAACCAAGTTTTCGAGACTATTTCGGACTGTTTGAGATTATTTGTTAGTACACATCATGTCTTGCGCAGTTTTCAAACAGTTTCGGATGTTAGAACCAGAACAAAACTAATATGTAGCCATTCAGACCGGAATGTGCAGCTCTGGATGAGTTGAACCTTTGAACCATCTTCTGGAAATCTCTACGGCAACTATATTGACGTATTGAAGGGATTTCAGTTGATTGGTCTGCAATGAGGTTTTCAGATGTTCAAGGTGCAAGATTCCTACGTTCTGTTTTTTAGCTATACATGACGATAGATAAGATTCAATCATGCATTTTTTTTTGCCTCTGGTTTGGGTGAATCACCTTTCAGGCTCAAGAGTTTGGTGTGAAACAGACCCTTCAGATATCCTGCCTATGAGGAGGCGATACGTCGCTTCCTAGCTGCATTATGTAAAAAACACCCACGGTAAACTTATCTTATGGATCTTGATTATGATTAGAAAATAAAACTATCTTCATGCACATCTAAGATCCGATATGTTAATGATCATCTCACCGTTCTGAGCAACTTTCCTGCTTTGATATGTGTAGCGTAGTCATTCAGCAATAACCATCATTTTTCACATTCTCGATTATAGAAGGCTGCCATGCACGTGTTCTAACCTGGGCAGCGTGGGAACTCCAGACTCCGGGTACATTCGCAAAAATACCGTATTAAGACGTGCATTGCTTCGACGAATCACCGGAAAACTTCAACGGGTTAGCTTAAGGGCACGCCAAGCAGTGTAGACAATCCCAACGAGAGTCCGAGGATTGAAACCCACTTTTGATGTATAAAAATGTTATTTTTCATGTGTAGCTTAAAAACAACTATTTTCAGGAGAAAATATTTATATTAGGGATTTTTTAGATTCGAAAATTATGAGAAGGAGGTGGATGAAATATTGAAAATACCAGGACTGAAATATTCGAATGAATCAGAAAAAATGACCAATAGATATGAAATTTAAATGTATAATGTAAGTAAGTACGCTAATTTGAAAAGAAATTACATATCTAATTATTGTGATACAAACAATGATTTTTTTAAAATGACCACAAAGTATTAAAAATCAGGAGAAAATATGATGAAAATCGAAAAAACTAAAAAGAATGGAAGGAGTCAAGCTACTTCACGACGTTTTGATGTTTAGTATCCATACTCATCTTTTGTCCTACTGTTGGTAAGGGGATGATGGTCTCATTCAGTACTCGTGTATTGAATATAACTGGACTTGTATCTCAATACCAAACCGTTATTTTTAACACCTCGACACGTGTTTCAATCACCAACTGATCATCTTCAAGTGAAAGATTAAACTAAATCTACATACAATGTTGTCCTTATTTATACCATAGATACTTCTGCTAGGTACCTGCGTCTTAATTGTCTTACAAATAATTCAACAATGTTGCCTTATCTACTAGTCGGGTAAATCTGATAACTGAAAATATTATCTCAACAAGCTACATAGTAAAGTATTAAGTATTGGTCCACCATCGTTATTCATAATATTGATATGTTGACTTATTTCTACGCTCTCATAGGCATCAAAATGCCTGTTGTTGTTAACTTGTGTAACTAATCTCAATGAAATAGTTTTGTTGCAAAACATAATGGGCGACTACTGATTTTTCTGGTTTGGTTTGGATCACATATCTGTGATTTCCATTATGATTTAATTTTTCATCAATTTCTTCCTTTTAAGAAGAATGTACCCAGCAAACACAATAATGTAAAATTGACATAAATGTTACATAACTGATAATATGTGTTATATAACTGGCGAAATGTCCGCCACAATTACAACCTGATTTTTATGTAACATTAATGTCATTATTTTACATATATTTTATATAATTTCAGTGAGTAAATATAAACAAATGTAACACTTGCTCGCAAAAAAATTCGGAATCATTAACTGGAAAAAGCATTTTTCGAAAACCAAAACTTCCAGACCAAACTCTGCCTCCACACTTTTTTCTTTGTAAAAAATACTCATCAACAAAAACACAAATCTCAACGTATCACGTGATGAGAATGTCTTAAAAACTCTAGCCTCTCCCACAGAACTTCACATATACCAACACATAACTCGAAAACTCAGAGAGATTCTCATCTGTCAAAACGTCAAGTGCGTCTGGATGTTACAACCTGAAAAAAACAGCTAATGTAATATTGAAGTAACAACTTTACGTAGGAGTTAAGTGAAACCTAATATACAATATTGAGTTTTTACGTATCAGCTATGACATATTCACATAAATTATTTATATAAACATAGGGTGAAAGTTTTTCAGAAATGTAATGAAGTATTTACATAAATGTATTACATAAACATGTTCCCTTAATTTTATGTCATATTTACGTAAATGTAACAAGTGTGTTTGCTGGGTAAATGATCAAGAAGTTGTCACTTATTAGACAATAGACCATACAAACTTTCCGTCGAATATTCTGAGGGTAAAATCCTTCGTTCATAAGGGGAACCGTTAGACATAAACATATTCTTCAAAACATTTCTCTTAAAAATTTTTTTCAGATAAGAAATAAACTTTCTAGGTTTTCAAATTCATACATATATTTATCTTGAAATTATACCAAGACTATTAGGAGCATTTGTCACTTAATAGCAATAATCAGTTCAATTATTGCGTATTAAAAAAACAATAATGCATTTTTCCAATATTTCTCTATAGGTTTAACAATTCCAAATGAATATCCGAAACTGTTTATAGATTTGAATATTAGTTTATATGAATACCTGTTTCTGATCGAATACCTAGAGAAAGCATGCATGCATTATATGGAAATGGTTTTGATTCTCGATTTGCCTGAAAAAAATATTGGTCGATTTGACTACAGTGAAATTTCGTGAAAGATATTTTGTTTATGTTGTCTTCACTTTGTACCAAGAAAACATCAAATTTCATAATATATTCAATAGAGCTATTTAAAGAGATTTTTAAAAAACTAATAATTTCAACGAATTGTTGTAGAAAATCCAGTTGATAACAATATCTACACCATCCAATTTTTTTCCCAATGTATGTAGCTCCAGATGCAAATCAGAGTGAGATTTGTATCTGCAAATAATATGTTTTCGTTAAAACTTTTGACATCTTCAAATAAAACCGTACTCCATTCTTGAATGTAATTTATGTTTTTCGACTTCCTCGTATACTATAAAAATAAAGAAAATTACTTTGATGTTTATAAAAAAAACTATCCATAAACGAAACTATTATGAAGAATATTATTTTTGAGAATGATTAAAAAATATGGCGGTCACTGTATAAGGCAATAAATTATTTCAATATCATTTTACACAGAACTATTTTTCGGGAATAAACATAGTAAGTATATTCTGCATTTATATGCAAGAATATTGACGTCGGGTCTCATAATTGTCGATATATTGTTTGTGCGTTCCACTAAGGGCTCACAAGGATCAAAATGCTACTATAATCGTTCCACATAATGACCGCAGTCATTGTGGTCCCTTCGAAAACGTCATTCATGACGTCATTATTTTCGCTCACGGCAAGCTCACAACCGAAGTGGACGACAGCTGATTGACGAAAAAACAGATTTTAAACAGAACAGAAACAGAGCATAATGAAATAAATTTGAGTGTAGCACAAATTCAGGGTATAATCTAACTTTGCAATTAGATATTTTGAAATTTACAGTGTAATATGTGATAAAAAATCATGTACCTGAAATGACTTTTGAATTCTTTATCTGAATAACGATGAAATACATTCCCATAATCAATAATGTGTGATTCAAGTTTTCGGTATTTACGATTATGATTTTTAAAGTTGCCTTCTTCTCTCCATTGGAACTAGATGAACTAGTTTCTGGAGCATAATTGCGACGCATCCTCAAACATCCAATTGCCGTTAAAGACATTTTGATTACATTCAAACTCAATTTGTTTAATAATATATATCTATGATTTGCTGTGGAAATAAAACACATGAAGAATTGAGCTATCCTTTCAGCGTGTCTAATCGTTACTTGAAATAATATCATGGTGGGTTCATGAAAATGAGATGATTTATGTAATTATTTGCATTACTTATCATTTCATCCCCAATTTTCGGATGAAAACGACGTTTGCGTATACAATATAATTTTTTCTGCTGTAAATTGTTGCTTTATTAAATTTCAATATATCTCATTCACCAATAAGTTGAAATTTTTATGGTGAAGCGATGTCGAAGCTATAGTACTTTTACTATACTACTCCTATTCAGGCGAATAGATCTCATATTTAGATTCCATCAACAAAATTAACTCAGTCGTGAAAATTGTTTGAAATCACAAATACAATTTTATAATATTCTCAAAACTCCAAATTGAAATACACGATTTTGAGATCTATCAAAAACATAATATATCCCTGGTGCGTTCTGGTAGATACTTTCCTCAGTTTAATATATTATGGAAACGGCCTGTCCGTCTTCGAAATTAAGTTATTTCGTGATTTACAACTATTACAGAAATTAATTTCACTGTTTCAGTCCCTAACTAGTTCTTTTTGGTGAATATTTTTTGTCGTAAAAGCTATATCAGAGATGTTACCTCAGAGTACTAAATTACTCTGAGAGTGGCGGAAGGTCATATTCGTGTTATTCAGGCTTGGAGTCCAGCTCCTCTACCCTTTTGGCTGATTACTCTGAGGGTGTTACCCAACATAGAATATGTATTCTTACTTCTACTTGTTCTGTGCCTCTACTTCCTGTGACGCAGAGCGAAAGAAGTCGTAGACTTTTCAACGTATGGATCACGAAATGGACCGGCGGACCCGTCTCTTTTCCAATCGATAACTTAAGGACTATACCTTTGTATATAGACTAATAGAGAGACTGCGAGGGCAAAGTAATATGGAGTATTCCATCCTTTTCTTACGATGCAGTCGTCATTCGGCCTCCTACTACAGTTGAGTGCATACCATAAGTTGTACCGTCTATGAGAAAAATAGAACATAACCAAAGTATAAAGTATACTGGCATATGCTGTGATATAACCTCATATTTCCGAAGTGTTATTTTCGATTAATTTAAAGTAACCTGATAGGAATTGAAGTTTTATTGGAAATTATACTGGATACTATTTATCAACTATAATGATTTCGCAAAGGCTATGTACCATGTTGAACACCAGTAAGTTGTTCTGAGACTGCTGTCTTGCAAGTAATAAATGAACATATCATTATTATAGGTATTTCTTTCATGCAGGTGAGGTGTATAAAAACTACCACTGTATTACCTCTCATTCAAAAATGGAGAAAAGAGCGAGGACTTCCGATGAATCCACAAAGCCATAATGAGTTGGTGAATAGACCTGATTATTCATTTAAGGATGGACGAATAACACCCTATGGTGTGAGGCAAAAAAAGAGGATGGAGCACCAACGTGAATTGCGGGACCAAATAATATCACTTTCTGGAGAAATAGATTTTGCTGTAGAACGACATGCCAAGTTACAAGCGGAAGAAGAGAATCGGAAGAAGCGAATTATAGATGCCAAATTGAAACCTAAGGGTTCGAAGTTATTAAAATCAAAATAAGTGAATGCATCAAATGGTTCAATTGTAGATATTAAAATGAGTCCATTACATATTGATTGAGTGGCATAGGCAATATACAATTGGTTCATACAGTTATTTTGCTTGTGGGATTGACAGAATGCTCAGTCTATGCATATGAACTGTAAGTCCCAGAGGGAGTTCATTGTGAAACCAAGCTTCGACATTGACCACCGAATGAGACAAAACTTTCTGTATCTATAGCTTTCATTGCGAAACAACTAGATGAAACTAAAGTTCAAAATAATGTACCCATGACACAAAACTGCTTCAGTTTGTTATATAGGACTCATCTGTATTGCAGTGTTTCAGAGGCGATGACAATGCAGGGAGAGACAGAGGAGGAATCTCAATCGGTGGTCAATATTGAAGCTTGACTTTCCAATGCCTCATTTATTATATTCATGAATTGAGTCTTTTATCGATTGCATGGTTCGTGTGAGTCCAACGATGCATTCGTGGTTCAGCTTAGCACCAATGATGACACCAATGCAAAAATGTTGCCAGATGTTGAATGACGAATAACTTGTTTTTGTGCTTTGTCATCAATTACTGTTGTCTGATATACATATTTGCCATATATTCTATGATGTGACTTGAAGAACAGGACATTTCTCAATAGATTTGAATTCTAGGTATACTTTAGCACTCTATATAGTTTGTTCCACTCATTCCATCTTATCTATCAGTTTCTCATGTCCACTGTCTACTTCCAATTATATTATTATTGTTATGACTCTGAGCTCGACTGTATTTTTATATTTTCCACTTCAATATCATTTTTAACAGGATAATTTGCTTCTATTGCATGGTAACTACTGTAATAGTGTATTCAGTTTCTATGTTGTCCCTCGCTAAAGTATAACATAATACTATCACTATTATCAACTTGAGCATGTTGAAAAAAAATAAGACTATCTGTTTTGAATAGTGCAAATTATAACTCAGTATTACAGTTTGCTATAATTTTCATTGTAAAAGGTTTCCACATATTTTCTTATACGATAGTTTTCTCAAGCAGTACTTATGAGGTAATACAGTAATCTGTATTAGTAAGTATATGATATGGATTTTCATCAAGTATCGATCAGTTCCATTCATATGAATATTATGACGTGTCAATGTTTCACTAATATTTCAGTGAAGGAAAATTTCAAATTCAGCAGACACCAATATTCTGCTGTTTATAGATTGAAAATATTTGAGAGGGTTCAAACACAATAAGGAATTGGTTACTGAAAAAAAGTGCCAGTGCATCAGAAACATGTTATTTTTATGGTTACATGAATGGGAAACTATATTTATGATGAACAGTGTTAGACATGAAAAAGAAAGTACTCAAAACTAATTATAAGTCTTAAGTTGGGGGTCAGTAGGTACTTCAGAGGCTCCACCACAGCATACATTTCAGGAACACATTGGATTATAAGTTATAACTCAATGATTAGTTGTCAAATATAAATGGGGCTATTTTACTGTTGTTTAGAAATACTTATTTTTCATTTAATTTCGCAACTAGAGAGTTTTTGCTTGCATTACTATATTGACATTAAGATAATTCCTATCCTTTATGAGTAAGAAAAAGTCTTGTAGTTTAGGCCTTGTGAACTCATAGGCCAAGACTTATTAGTGTATTTCTACCCAGTTCATTATGAAAAGTCCTTTAAGTTACATATTATACCAAACAGAAATTAAAACAGTCCTTCTATGAGGAGACAAACATATACTTCCAATAAATTGATAGATGTGTAACAAGGTGGTAGGAGATCATCATGAAAAGTGAAAAATAAAACTTCCTTTGTTTTTATACCACTTGTATTTGTATCTAATTTTTGTCCTATGATATTTTCAAACAAATATGTCCCTATAGGACGAAACTGAAGTAACATTTGTTACAAATAAAAGTGGTATAAAAACAAAGGAAGTTTTATTCTTAATTTTTGAAAACGTATATTTGCATTCTGAATTGTAGATTTTGCAGATGCATGTAGATGGAAATTGGATTATATCCGGCATACATTAATGCTAGTTTCCTCAGAGAAATTTTTTGCAGTTGGTTCTCATTGTCCTGTGATCACAGACCTGTTTCCTCAATGACTGTTTGAGGAAAAGTAAGCAGAATGCACTTCATTAGTTTCTATGTGGTCATGCTACTGGCAATAAGAAGAATCTACACGAAATTTTTCTGTGAGGAATTTTGTACAAATATATGTGAGAAATAATGCTAAATTCATTATGGTATTAGCCAAGGAGGTAGTGATTTTCTGAAAGGCAGTTGCCAATTCCTACCCTGTAGTTATTCCATTCATGTAATGATTTCTTTACAACATTCCTGATGAGTGGTTCTTCATCACTTGTCAATCTAGAAGTAAATTTAATTGTGTGCCCATTGTTAATATGTTCTAAAAATGTATATCGATAATTTCAACTAGGTGTAGCCACATTTCCATGGCAGTATTTATTCTTGAATTCATTTTTAATTTTCGATCATTTTAATTGTAACTTAGATTTTACAAATTGTAAAAATTTCTATGAACATAGATAAACTAACTAGAGGCGCTGGCATTTCCTTACGTAGACGCCATCTATGATATCGACAAATAAATCAATTCACGAATATTGGTGATAAAAGAGGCTTTTCGAAGCGGTCCGTTATAGAATCAAGCTTCGAAATCTACTGTCGAATGAGATTCATTCTCTGTCTTTCATTCCAGTTTCAATTACAGTATTAGTCAGGCTTGTCCTTAAAGTACTGTTGAGTCTAGCGGTACATTCGTGGTGGGTCGAAACAACCATCTTGTTTTGTATCAATAATACTTTGTCTTTGGTCGGTTTTGAATTTTTCATTTCTCTGTCAAGTGTGAAGTATTACAGCAAAATTGTTTCCTTTACCAAAATTTGATGCAAATATGTGAAAAGTTTTTGGCACGGAGATCCAATTAATGATGATCTTAACATTAAGTTTGAGAGAATTATTTGGTTGATAAATATTTTGTAATTAGCAAAAAATTACACTTTTGATCTTTCCCACTGTAACCCACCACAGATGCTTGTGGATCACATCTATTCAAACTCGATCAAGTAACGAAGCTGAGTATCTTATTTTTTTCTCGAGATTGGATGAATCATTTGAGCATAAGTTTGTTGACTTGCTCTGGGGAAATTTGTTTTCTCTCTCAAGTTATGTTTCTGTTGCTCAATAATTTGATGAAAGACAGATCCAGAGGAGGCGATGAGTTCGCCTATCTTGTTAACAGGATCAAGAGTTTGACTGAGAAGCTCTTGGTCTTATTCTAATGTTATAGGAAGTTTAGTTGAGACCTCTATCTCCTCTGTAGACTCAGGGTCGGATTCCTTGGTGACTTCATGGTTCATGGAGGATCCGAGTAGCTAGGGAAAAAACTCCATCTAGGCACAGCCCCGTATTACCCTGAAAGGCTTATCTCGGTGGGAGAGTGTCCGATATCTTGGAGGTTTCGTTAAAGTGCTGAGAGTTGTCATACATTTTTTTTGGCACACATACACACTCCTCAAGATGTGGAGTCATTTAGAAGAACCCTTACCTCCATAGGTGACATCTTACTCGGCAGGGATATTCTAACACCCGCCGCTACAGGGCGTTCCAAATGACTATAATGATACAGGGTGTTCCATTTCAGAGAAAGTTGTCAATTTCAACTATAACCGGAAACGAGAAAAAGTTCAAAATATTTCAGATCAATTTTAAATAGTTTTCACTCCAGAAAATTCAAATCTCTAAATGATTCACGTTCAAAATGACTGAACACAAACTATGCTTCTGCATGGAAGCAAAAAGATACCAGCTTGAAAACTTGTTGAACCAAAAACGAAGTATCAACCTTCCATAAATCTTATCAGTGGTGCTAGATTGAACCACGAATAAAGTGCTGATTAAGAAAAGGTGTTGATATATTTCCTAACGAAGACGCTCTCTATGGAATCGATCACAAGTATCAAAGAAAATCGAAGTTACTTTTCAGTGAAAGATAAAGAACGAATCTCGTTCGGTGGTCGATATCGAATCTTGGCTTTGATATTACTGCACTTGAGATCCTGTTTATCGTTAATATTCGTAGACATTCTTCTGTTTTATAGATGAAGTTTTCGTAAGAGATGTCATCGCTTCTACTGCCTGGTGTTGGATCAGGAATGCTTCGTTTTTTTGGTTCTGGTTTTATAATTTTTCTCAATGTTGACTAGCGATTAACTTTTAACATGATTTCTTGATACGCACTACATCAAATTTAAAAATAGTATGAAGCATTGGAAAAAGAAAACATCATTGATATAGTTTTTTCACGAAACAAAATTCAATGGTTAAATAGGTTTTGTTTTGTTTTCATTGGTCCACCCTACGAGTACCTATTCCTCTGAACCTGTTGTGTCAACTGACCTTACATATAATCTTTCAAATACTCTCCCACAGTTATTAAATCATCGTCCTTTTTTCACCTAATGGCGCCAATAACTATCGGGTACGATTCTGAAACAATTTTCTGCACTTAAATATTCACGGTCTCGGCGTGCTTGTAGCTCATCCAAGTTCATTACCAATTCGTTCTCCCACTTATTTCCCGAGCAATTCATAGATAAACAAATCTTTACACTTTTCTTCTCCGGTTGGATGAACAAAGTTGAGTTTCAAACGAAGCGTCTTGATTGAGGTGGTTATGGTTAGAGGAACAAGAATTAAAAATAAAGCATGTAGGTAGGTACTACCAACACGGACGTATCAGCTATTAGCGACATTCCCAAGCTTGTCAAATTATGGAATTATTGATGTTGCCAATCAGCACATCTGTTTGCTCATATTTTTATTATATATGTTATAGCTGGTATCTGCATTCTCGTGTTAATTTTTGTGCCGGTTATTATGTTGTAGGTATTTCTAAGAATAATTACCTCATTTCACACTAACTGATCAACTTATTTAAACAATTCAGTTGTATTGATTGGCTAAAAATCAAATGTCCATATAGCGGCATCATTTCATAAAAATAAACATAATTGGAAATGATTCTTGTTCAAGTTTCTATCTGTTTCCGCTGTTTCTACACAATGGCATCTGTCAAATACACCTCTTGAACTTCTTTCTTGGCTAATATGACAACAAAAATTGGATCATTTCTAAGTTTTGATGGATATACATAGGCTGAAAAGTTTCTATCCTAACTCATAGATGGCGCTAGTCTTATTGCAGATAGTACTAACCTTCAAAAGGAAGCTGTTGAAATTGCATTATAGGTATTCTACTCATGAGTGTGTGAGTTATTTTGCTAAGAGTGACACTACTTTCGTTATTTTCGAAACAATGGATCAAAAATAATTTCGTGTTTCAAATTTATACTGCTATTTGATGAAAACAATACCGTTCAAGCCAAGCAATGACTTGAAAAGTGTTATAAGGACTCCGCTGCATCAAAAACAACAATTAAACTTTAGTTTGCTGACTTCAAAGGTGGTCGTAGAGACACCGACGATGCAGAATGCAGTGAACGTCCAAATTAGATTGTAACACCAGAAAAAATCCACACAATCGTTTTGAATGATCGAAAAGTAAAGTTGCGTGAGTTAGCTGACATTGTTCAGATATCAAAAGAACGTGTTGGCTTCACATTGCATGAGCATTTGACTACGAGAAAGCTCTGTTCAAAGTGGGTTTCCGCGAGCTCACTGTTGACAAAAAATATGATGGTTTTCAGCAGTGTTTGGCCATGTTTAAACATAACAAACCGGAATTTTTGCGTTGATATGTGACAATGGATGAAACATGGATTCATCACTTCACTCCGGAATCAAAAAGATCGTCATCTGAGTGGAGAGTAACTGTTGAACCTCGTCCAAAGCACCCGAAAGCACAACAATCGGATGGAAAGCTTATGGCCTCGATATTATGGGATGTGAGAAGAGAATTATCATCAGCAGTGAATAATAATA